CTGCTTACTCTTGATTGTAGTTACACAAATGAAATGGCCTCACATTTGAACTTGAAAATAAGTTGCCACTATTATGATTTGCTGACTAGATACGAGATCTCTGATTAACATAGTATATGCACATCAGCCTAAGGAACAACTTATATGATATGAATTATAGATTCAAAGTTGAACATATAAATAAATGTGGGAAGAAAATGAAGATACAAAAGTAAATATTTTCTCTGGCTATTGGACTTTGGATCTTTTTGTAATCTGTTTACAGTTCATCAATTTCGAACCAGTTAGAACCATAAAGTGGTATATGTTACCTTAAACTACTAGGTGCTCATAGATACTGAAAATCTTGCAGGGTTTTATGTTGCGGACTGTGTTCCCATCATTCTCAGTAGCTTTTTGGCGCTAACAGAAGAGACTTAATATGAAATTCTGAATGAAGTCGCTACAGGTAGGAAGTTGCTAGGGATGTCTATGTTCTAGCTGAGGAAATGCCATCTTTCCATTTTTACTGGCTGAGAGTTGTGCTTATTTGTTTTTGCTTGCTTGTTGAGAATATACATATGGTTAATTAGAGGGAAATAGCTTCCTGGGACCTTCTTGTATTTATCTTTTACCAATTACCTAGAAATGGTAGACTTTGTTCAGTCAATATTTAATTTAATGATTGATTACACAATTCTCTCACAATCCAACTTGGTGCTTTGTAATTTCTGAATCTTGACATGTAACATTTTGCTCGGTTTTTGAAGAATCTATAGTATGTGTTTTTGAATGTTTGTTAATTTGAGATATCTTGAAGTAGGGTCGACAAGTAAGTTAGTTATTGGTGTTCAGGAATTAGAGTTTATAGTTCCTTAGGTTACATAAGTTTGTTGAAACTTAGGGTTAATGAAGTTGAGTTAAACCCCTACATAGATGCAGGTCATCGTTTTTTTATCCTTTATGAGTTGAGGGTTCTTCACGATTAAGTATTGTGCTATTTTTTTTTTTTTTGCTTTACTAACATGATTGTTGTAATCAGTAAAGGAATAGATAGATTATACCCATTCCTTAGGCCAATTTAGAGGTCAATATTCAAACAATATATTTGACTCATATACTTTATTATTTTTGAAACATTAATTTACCATTAATTATAAAGAAATTAACATCTTGATAGTAAGTCAACTAATTTATGATAGTTTTAATCATGTCAAATTTATTAAAGTTTGAATTTGTGGCACTTTACATCTTTGGAAAAAACTATTTATCATATATCATTAAGGGTCTTGGTGATACTATAGTTGAAGAAAATGAAGTGTCAAGTCAGGATAAAACAAAAAATGTGATTTTTCTTCATCCTCTTCTTGATGGAATCGTGGAAGTCGAATATTTGACAATGAAAGATCCGCTTAATTGTGGATAAATTTTAAAGGAAGATAAGAGTGGATTCACTTATGATTTCAAGATTTTGAAATTTTAGTTGAGTATGATTGTTATTTTGAATCACTTTTCAATTGCAATTATATGGAGAGACAATAAAAGACGAGGATATGTTGGAAAAGACACTAACTACTTTTTAAGCATCAATTTTCTTGTTACACCAACAATACCGTGAAAAAGATTTTTAGAAATATTCGAAATTGGTCTCATGCTTTTTGGCAGTTGAGCAACATAATGTCTTTCAACGAGAAATCATGAAGCCCCTTCCATTGGAGCTGCTTCATTACTGTCACGCCCTGAGCCTTCACCTTGGGCATGGTTGACACTCGAGAGCCATTGTTGGTCTCCAAGTGAACCCTCGTCCTGTCTCAATACTTAGTGGAAGACTTAGTGCCTGTTTGAAATGGCTCATTTTAGGTGCTTTTAAGCTGAAGTAATTTTTAAGCAGTTTTTAAGTGTTCGGGTAAAGTTAAAAAAATGCTTATAAGAACTTATTTTAAAGTTGAAATAACTAAAATAAGCCAAAATCCACAAGTTAGAAATCCTAACTTATGACTTTTGGTGTATAAGTCATAAGCAAAAGTGAATCCAAACAAGCCCTCACTCAACAAAATAGAACTCAACACAACTTCAATTCATAAGAATATCATAAATGAAATAGTTTAATTCAATATACGCAAATGGACATAAGTGTTCAGCTCATTGTCTTTAAAATATCAACAAATATGAGAAATCCTCAACTAGTACTATCTATGAAGCCTCTAATAATCATGATAAACGTTAGGAGAAGACCGACAACATCTTAATAAGACTGAGAATAAAAGTAGAATCCTCCGAAAGCAAGAAAGCTTACCAAAGCAACTCTAAAACTGCAAGTGATATCAATGGGGTGCCTGTTGATGACCCTAAATTCATGCATTATGCATCATAAAAAGACGCAGATCAAATGGCGTCAATACATTGAATGGACGAGAATGTAAGGGAAATTTTAAACCACAATTAAAAGCTTGAACTGATAAAAGGAAGTACATACTCATCTCATTCAACTCAATCCGACTCAACGACACTCAAAGATGCTAAAAACTTAGAAATACTCAACTCAAAAGTAGCAATAAGGATGCAATATAAAGAAAACTTTTACATAGTAGCTAGTAACTCAACATATTTAAAAATATACGAATAAACTCTTTTGCTCTTATTTGAGAGATTCTCTAATCAACAACCATCACTATGAGTTATGTGATAATACAACGTCTCGCCCACGCTACCATAATTGTCCTATACCTTGCCAGATTATAGGACATCCTCAACTAAGTGTATCCACCAAGCTATGCTTAAAAGTAACAATGAATAATCTAAAAATTATGACCTTGTACCCGTGTTGGCATGCATGATCTATGAGGGCTTTGGATTGTCTGAACTCGTCTCCATATCGGTGTGCAATACTACTCTCAATAATATAATTCATGCTCACATGTTTAAAAATATTTCCTCATCTCAAACTTTGAGTTTATTACTCAGAAGATTCTCTTAAGAGAGATGGTACTCAAAAACTTCTCATAAACTCATTTGGTAATCAAAGTTTTCTCTTGCTTTAAATATAAAAGCTGTTGGGATTTATGCAGTTTTGATGATTGACAAAGAAAGAAGAAACATGTCAGTCAACACGGTCCAAAGGTACATTGTCATGAGCTGTTGAATTCGAGAAATCTTCTAAAATGAATAAAGATAAGAGTGCAGAAATAAAGAAATGGATAATGTTAATTTCGTGAGAAACCCCAAGAAAATAAACATCTTATGAATTGAATAGAAAGAATTAATGAGTTTGATTTGAAGAAGGAGTCTAAAGAGGCAAGTAATTTTAATTGAAGAAGGTGTCTCATTTAAAGTAGAACTCTAAAAGTTACTGTCGAATTGAAGTGTTGGAGTTCGACTACAATACAACAGAATTAATTAATGTAATTTGAAAAAGAAGTCCAAAGAATGTAGGTGTTTGAATTGAAGAAGGAGTCTTACTTGAAGTTGAACTCTAAGTCCAGAGAGTTCAAGTCAATAAGGAGTTTGAAGTGAACAATAACTCTATGATAAATTGTGCTTAAATATAAGTGAAGTCGTTCATAATACTTGTGCACTTACATAGCAAAAAAGCGATTGAGAAATTCACTTTGCAAGTGCTACCAGCGAATTGAAGGAACACATCGAAGAACCCGATCCTTTACAGAGTTTATGTGTTAGGATTTTTTCTTTGTAAATGAGTCTTGATGTAATCTTAGTTCAGTGAGTTATAAACTTAATTAGGACTGTTGTCTTAGGGTTGTGATAACTCGAAGAGTTGGGAAGACATACCTTGGGAGGTTTGTGTTGAAGGTTAGGAATTAGAGTTAATTCATAGGATTACCAGAGTTGTAGTTCAAATCCATAACTTGAAGTTAAGGTAGGTTGTAAAGTTTATAATCTATCTTTTGTGGAGGCTCCTAGTTGATTTAGTGAAGTTGGAGTTAAATCCTATAAGGGTACAGGTCGTGATTTTTAAACCTTTTGAGGTGGGTGTTTCCACGTAAAAATAATGTAACTTACTGTCTTTACTACTTTGTTGGAACACGTTAGACAACCTGTTTCACACTAGGTGAATAGTTAAAATCGATAGATTATTAGGTGGTGTAGAATATCAATTGGTATCAGAGCAGGTTTTCTTTAAAAAGTTAAACCACTTAAGAATAGATCGAGATGAATTCTGCACCTCCACTCGGATATTGTGAAGGAAAAGATATCAACAAGCCTTTGTTATTCAACGATTAGTATTACTTGAAACACCCTGTATGCTACGTGTACTAGTCATATTTATATAATGCCTATTAACTGCCTTGTGGTATAGTTATGAATTCGGTTTCATAGGCAACTAGTGCCAATAGAATAGGTTTAAAGTGAACTGTCCATAGATTTTGATGCGAGCCAATTAAGTTAATGTCGATGGAAGTGTTTAAACTTGAGACCATAAGGTGGTTTTTGAGTCTAATGTATAAAGTGACGTAGTGTATATAATTTCTAAGTTATGTTAAAGTTATTAAGGCCTAGAAATGGAATAAAATATTGAGGTGCTTGCTTGACTTCACTAGGCTAGTAGGTGACAAGTAGGTGCATCACCTACTTTGACTTACTGACCAGACCAAGTAGGTGCATCACCTACTAAGACTCTTTGGATTGCGTTATTAAGACAAGTACACTACACCTATTTGCATTAATTTAGCCAAGGTTGAATAGAAGAATAAGGGGAAAATGGATAGTCAAGACCCAATCTTCCCAAGCCCACAAGAAATAATTTAATGGAAAACTAGGTGCATCACCTACTTAAATGTGTGGCCCAAATTATAGACACTTGTTGGCTGCAAATGAAGTACATAAAAGGTGGCAAAAGGACCAATGTTCTTAAGTCCAAAAATTCCACATGAAAAGTCCAAGTAGGTGGGTCACCTACTTGACAAATTATGGCCCAAAATGAGTGAGAAAGTCGGCCAAAGCAGGTCCCTTTAAAAGAGATTGATATCAGCTCTTTCTAGCCATTTTTACTTTGACAAAAAGATCTGATTTCTAGAGCTTTCTATCTTCTCTCTCTTAGATTCATATAACAGTCATTAAATACCATTAGGGTTCTTGAATAATAGGCATTTCAAGCTATTAAAAGGTATAACTTAAGACAAGTTAAGGAGGACAACCTTTACCTTGAAGAATTCAAGTCTTAGTAAGTGGTAGTTATGTCCATCAAGGTAAGCTACTGCAATTTTCTCCCTCTTGTGCTTGAGTTAATTAGGACACTTGGTATGTGTTAGTGAGTTGGAAATTGTTACTTTTACATGGTGAATTTCGGGGAGGATGTTCTGGTGATTAGTGCATGTTGGGATAGCTATGGTGGGGAGTCCTCTTTAAATTAAGTTATGGGCTTGTTTGAGCACTTTAAAAGTAATGTTAGCCCTTCAAGTTTTGGTGATAAGAAATCATGATTCATATTGCTTCTATTACATTATTATGTTCAAAGATTATTTTTTTATATGTTATGATAAGGGATATGACTGGATGTGCGGGGAAGTTTTGGAGACGTTAAAGAACTTAAATATTGCAGGGAGTTTTGGGGAGGACCTGATACGAAGGTTGTACAGTATATAGACGCGATTAAGGGATAGGGAAGGAAAGAAAACATTGGCTAGATAGATTGCAGCTTACTGCTTCGTTACTATTTAGGTGTGACAAGTGGCTCAAATTGATTGATTAGCTACTAGTACTAGTCTTAAAACTTATTTTATTGTAGATAAGTGATTTGAAGAGAAGGAACTTAAGTCATGCGTTTTGAATTGTATAACAAGGTATGTAAGACTATTTGATTTCCTATTTCTTTGGCATGAATCCGAAATATGAATTACAAAAAGTAAGCTTTCTAAGTGCCCTTGGTAGTGACTGATCCATAGTTTCAGTTCCAACTCCCTAGAGTATTGAAGTGCGTACTCTAATATGAGTTTGTTACTAAATGTGCGTATTTACTCTACCAAGTGTTAGCATGCAAGGTTTAAACTTGTGTTTCATTGTCAAAGTACCCCTAACACGTATTTCCATTATATAAGTCAAAGTGATCCTAGGTTACACATGGTACATATGTTTATAAGATGGATATACGGTCTGTCCATATCTTGCCAACTTGCTTCAATTGTTTATAGATATGTCATCTTGTCACACATTCATATGTTCACTTTCTTGTTTTTACTCCCATTGTGTTAGACAATAATGTTACCTCTCATGATCACTACTTGCTCAATTGTACGTTTATATGTACTCACTTGGAATATATATCTGTCCTTGAGTTGAATCTGCCCTATTTCTCCCTTGGTTCCACATGCATGAACATCTTGTATTTGTATCATATAGAGTTCAAATCTCTTGGCTGAATGTTAAATTGTCTTCACTTGATGGGCTTCAATTTGTGATGTTAAAATGCTTACCGAGTTATATAAGCTCCTAACTACTACGTTCAAGTCAGATTTGCTTCCCATGTCATTGTTATTATAGTAAGTCCATATTCATATGTCTTTTACTAATGGTTTGTAGTTCCAAATCTAAATAAGGATTATGAACTCGAAAACAGTAATCACAAACAAGTTCTGAACATCAAAAAGAACAATATCAAAAGAGTTATGATTATCTAAAGAACAATCCCAAAAGAGTTATGAACTGATAAACAACAATCTCAAAGATGAAAAACTCTAAGTGAAGTAATCACTATGATTATGGGTGGCAGTTCAGGGGCGAAAGCCTAGCACGGGCCGATCCTAATTGGTATGGAAGGGTGGCAGCTCAGGGGCGAAATCCTAGCATGGGCCGATCCTGATTGGTATGGAAGGGTGGCAGCTCAGGGGCAAAAGCCTAGCATGGGCCGATCACAATTTGTAGAATTATGATGACAACATCCTAGGGGTTAAAATGCGTAGCATGGGTCATCCTCTTCTACCGCTGATCAGCTGGTCATTTGTATCATATGTTGTATAAAGATTATAAAGTACAGAAAAGTAAAGAAAAGAATGTCACATGCACGATTTCACAAGTACAAAACAAAGGTTGTCTCTAATCCTTATCTATTGGTATTTGGTTTAACTTGAGCTCTCATGTTACATATGGTTGTATTATTCCTTACTTATTCAGTACATTCTTTCGTACCGACGTTCCTTATTGGGGACACTGCATTTCATGCTGCAGGTACAAGTACTCAACTAGTAGATTTTCCCAATATAAGCACATTATACTCAGCAGATGTTGGTGAGCTTTAGGTTGATTCGGGGATTTTCTGAATCTTTACTATGCGTATTTTCATAGTGGTACCATTATGGATTCCAGTAGACACTTTGTAGACATTGTAAAGTTATCATCTGTATTCATAGTTTTGACTTGTCACATATTGCTGTTCACCTAGTCAATATGTGTTGTATATGAAGCTTCATCAGTAATCTGCATAGTATTTTATTTTCTCATCATAGATTACTTGAAAAGCATGTGGTCATAAGGTACTTGTCCGCCTCACCTAGGGTTGGGGCTGACAAAAGTGGTGTCAGAGCAGTTCGTCCTAGGGGGTCTACAAAGTCGTGTCCAGTAGAGCCTTAGTTATGAATGTGTTGCGCGCCACATTTATAACCAGGGGGCTGCTTAGACATTTAGGAAATGTTACCTTCCTTCATAATCCTATTCGTGCGATAGAGCAAAGTTAAGAAGCCAATTTCCAGTTGTACCGGATCATGCTATTCATATTAACTATGGTTAAGGTTAACGATTTGTTACAGTGTCAGCATGTAACATACAGAAAGGACCTCAAGTTATCGAAAGTTTGACTAGATTGAGCTTATTTTTTCGTCCATCTCACTCCACAAGGTATGTTGGCTTTTATGTTATTTGCATTTAAAGTTGCATTTGTACCATTTGCATCATGTTGGTTCAAAAATGAATGTTACCTAGTTACATATATTTGTTGTAGCATTTCCAGGCATATCCTCTTAGGAGGATGTAACAAGCTCTTGAGTTCTATATTTCCTCCATGCTTACATGATTTATTCCTATAGAGGACACTTGCTCTTAGTCTTTGATATACATAGAATTTTCAGCGTTGCACAAGTTCTCGAAATTGATGTAGTCAAACCAGTTTCTTTTAGTTCAAAGAAGCAAGTTGCACAATTTTATAGATGGATGTATCAGTGCAATAGTTTTACTACAGATACCCCTAATTGGCTGACAAAGCTTATTCTCACTGTATGTCTTCCCGAGTATGTTAATGTTTGGCATTTATATGGTATGGGCCAACTCTGATAAGTACTAATAACATTTGTATTCTTTTCATTATTATAAAACTTAGGGATAAGAGTGACAATTGCTGCAAATGATATATGTGTGGTGGTTCCTTTTATGATCTATGTGTTGGCAATAAAGAATTAGTATGTGCCTAAAGGGTAAGGATAACAAAAAGAAAGTTAACTGGTTTGAACTAAGTTATGATTAGTTGGTTGAACATAATGGAATCTAGTACATGAAGCTGCTAGTTTTGATAAAAAAGTTACTTGTTAGATAGGAAGCTTGTGAGAATGAAGCTTAAATTACACATGCCAAATATGTACAAACAACTTCTCATTAGAAAGAGATGGAATATGTCAAATTGTCTAAAATAGGAGTAGGGGTGATATGAGGATGCTATAGAGGAGTGAGATAGAAGGTTATGAGAGAGTGATTGCTAAATTGTATGCGATAAGAAAATGTTATCAACTCTTCAACGCTAACAAGTTATAATGGCGCACTGGGAACAATTTTGTGAACCTTTGTCACACAGAGAAGTTAATTTACTATCGATTCAAGTTTTGATATTTAGTCTTGATAACAACAAGAAAAAAGGAGGTGAATTTCATCCACATAATTAGTACAAAAATAAGTAAAACATTATACATATGTATAGACTTCCATCAGTCCTTGTCCAGTTAAGGGAAATGAAAAAAATTGATTATATGCATATTGCTAGTTTTTCTTATTTGCTATCTTGCATGGGAAAAGAGTCGGAACACCCTCACTTATTATGAAAAAAAGTAAGAAATCTTTTAGTATGGTTAGACCTATCTAGTTAAGCCAAATAGGCTAACTCTAAGACGTTATGAATCATGATATAACTTTATAGGTACCTGACATTTACATGTTATTAGATTTCATATTTCATGGTGCATTCAAGCTTCACTATTTTTTTTCCGACCTTCAAAGAGCATCAGGCATTGAGTGTGATATAACACAAGCTAGTCATGAAGGCAAAATTGACCTCGGCCTCCTACTCTAAAAGATGAACTATTTTTTTTGAGGATTTTCTTTTTCAATCTCGACTGTACTATTTATATTGACCTAGATGGAAGCCCTCTCCCAATTGCAGAACACTAATAAGAATTCTTAGGAGATTGGAGAGAGTACATGGGATATCAATTGCATGTGTTTTGAGGCGAGTTAGGAATATGAGCAAAACTATCCCACCTGTAACTTAAACGCTTAAGACAGTGTGTTTACCTTAGTATGGTAGAATAGTTCTATAATATATATCGTAGTTTCCAAAGGTGATTTGTTATATAATTATACATGCTGCATGTTCTATAACTAATCTATTTATATGTAATTTTCCCTTTGTGGATATCCTTCTCATAGGTTACCTAACGTCATGGAATGCTTACATGCAAGAGTTACTCGCTTCAGAGCACCCTTGTTTATTGTTGTTTTCATAGGAACTTTTCCTTACATGTTATTTATTGCACTGGTTACTTCCCACATGCCATTTGACATTATTGTACGGGGAATGCATGCTAATTAATCATATAACCATTTCTATATATTTTTCATACCAAGTAGCCTAGTTGCTTACACATTTCAGGACTTATAGCTTTTCTGGCCATGTGTTATGTGCTCACTTGTTCATATTTCATATCTGCGCTCATTAATATGTTAGTCCACCTATCCATGCAATACGATGCACTTGTTCGATGTGATTTGCGTTTCGTAGTTCATTTTCTGATATGTCTACATGTCATATCTACTACATGTCTTAGCTTATGTACTCATGCATAATGTGATCATCTAGTCCATTCCAACATTCCTTATAGTTCATTCGCTCACACTCTGCCCTATAACTCATATGCACACGTACACCATGTATTTCTATAGCTTAATGCCCGTATACCTTGCACTCTCCTTTTTGGGCTAGTCTGCCTATGTGCCATGCCCAATGTGACTTATTCATCCGTATACTATGCCCCTCTCTATGCTTATTGATTTGAGTTTTGAACAATTTGGGGATATATTTTTTTGTATCATTATGTAATGAAGATTTTGACCAGAAAAGGTTGGGTATATATGTAAATTAAATCAACCATAGATAAATAACTTAGCATAATACCCTATTGGCAGGAGCGGCATAAAACTTAGTTTTATATTAACAACTATGCGTTCTTAAAGACTTACGTCTGAAAAGCGTCATGAAATAAAAGAGTAAGAAAAGTATTGCCCCGATAGACTATGATTTTATGTGTCCGTTCATATACAAAAAAAATTGGGAGATACTACAGTTATTCTTAATTGTTAAGGCCCAGAAGCTAAACTCAGAATGTGTAACCATAAGTATTAGGGAAGGAATAGAATATAACACAAGATACTTCGGAATAGAACATGGTAGAAAGATACTAAGTAACCCTTCTCATTCTAAACATCAACATAAGGATCTGAGATCATGTGGTCCCCTTATCTGATCATGAATCCTACTAGAATTTGTTCATTTGTTGTGTCATTTGCGTGTCTTGTATTTAGGTATATTACAGTCCTTATTTGTATGAGTCCTACTTGTATTTCTTTAGTGAATTACATGGTAAAGAAGGGGTTTCATTTTCATAGTACTATTTCATGAATCATATCTATCGAGACGTCATGCTAGATTTGTCTATACATATTTTAGGTTAGTCTATGGATGTTAGATAGTCCTTTCTATTTAGGATGGGGATTCTCACAAATATCTATATGAAATTCAAAGACTAACTAAACTACTAGGTGCACCTATCATTCGAGGACGAATGATCATAAGAGGGGGAGGATGTAACACCCCGTATTCTACGTGTACTAGTCTTATTTATTTAATGCTTATTAACTTCCTTGTGGTATAGTTATGTATTCGGTTTCATAGGCAACTAGTGCCAATAGAATAGGTTTAAAGTGAACTGTCCATAGATTTTGATGCAAGCCAAGTGAGTTGATGTCGATGGAGTTATTTAAACTTGTGCAAGGTGGTATTTGAGTCTAAAGTATAAAGTGACGTAATGTATATAAGTTCCAACTTATGCTAAAGTTATGAAGGTATAGAAATTGAATAAAATATTGAGGTGCTTGCTTGACTTCACTAAGCTAGTAGGTGACAAGTAGGTGCATCACCTACTTTGACTTATTGACCAGACCAAGATAGGTGCATTACCTACTAAGACTCTTTTGACTGTGTTATTGGGCCAAGTACACTACACCTATCTGCACTAATTTAGCCATAGTTGAATAGAAGAATATGGAGAAAATGGACATCCAAGGCCCAATATTCCCAAGCCCACAAGAAATAAATTAATGGAAAACTAGGTGCATCACCTACTTAAATGTGTGGCCCAAATTATAGACACTTGTTGGCTGCAAATGAAGTACATGAAAGGTGGCAAAAGGGCCAATGTTCTTAAGTCCAAAAAGTCCAAATGAAAAGTCTAAGTAGGTGGGTCACCTACTTGACAAATTATGGCCCAAAATGAGTGAGAAAGCCGGCCAAAGCAGGTCCCTTTAAAAGAGATTGATATCACCTTTTTCCAACCATTTTTACTTTGACAAAGAAATCTAATTTCTGGAGATTTCTCTCTTCTCTCTCTTAGATTCATACATCAGCCATTAAATTCCATTAGGGTTCTTGAATAATAGGCTTTTCAAGCTATTAGAAGGTATAATTTAAGACAAGTTAAGGAGGATAATACCTTGAAGAATTCAAGTCTTAGCAAGTGGTAGTTATGTCCAGCAAGGTAAGCTACTACAATTTTCTCCCTCTTGTGCTTGAGTTAATTAGGACACTTGGTATGTGTTAGTGAGTTAAAAATTGTTACTTTTACATGGTGAATTTTGGGGAGGATGTTCTGGTGATTAGTGCATGTTGGGACAACTATTTTGAGGGGTCCTCTTTAAATTAAGCTATGAGCTTGTTTGAGCACTTTAAAAGTAACGTTAGCTCTTCAAGTACTGGTGATCAGAAACCATGATTCATTTTACTTCTATTACATTATTATGTACAAAGATTGTTTTATGTATGTTATGATAAGGAATATGAATGGATGTGCGAAGAAGTTATGGAGACGTTAAAGGACTTAAAAATTGCAGGGAGTTTTGGGGAGGACCTGATACGAAGGTTGTACAGTATATAGATGCAATTAAAGGTATATGGAAGGAAATAAAACATTGGCTAGATGGATTGCAACTTACTGCTTTGTTACTATTTAGATGTGATCAAGTTGCTCATATTGATTGATTAGCTACTAATACTAGTCTTACAACTTAGTTTATTGTAGATTAGTGATTTTAAGAGAAGGAGCTTAAGTCATACATTTTGAATTGTATAGCAAGGTATGTAAGGTTATTCGATTTCCTATTTCTTTGGCATGAATCCAAAACATGCATTACAAAAAGTAAGCTTTCTAAGTGCCCTTGGTAGTGACTGATCCATAGTTGCAGTTCCTACTCCCTAGAGCATTGAAGTGCGAACTCTAATATGAGTTTGTTACTAAATGTTCGTGTTAACTCTACCAAGTGTTAGCATGCAGTATATAAACTTGTGTCATTATCAAAGTACCCCTAGCACGTATTTCCATTATATAAGCTAAAGTGATCCTAGATTACACATGGTACATATGTTTATAGGATGGATATATGATCTATCCATATCTTGCCAACTTGCTTCAATCGTTTATAGATATGTCATCTTGTCACACATTCATATGTTCCCTTTCTTGTTATTACTCCCATTGTGTTAGACAATAATATTACCTCACATGATCATTACTTGCTCAATTGTACGTTTATATGTACTTACTTGGAATATGTATCTGTCCTTAAGTTGAATCTGCCCTATTTCCCCCTTGGTTCCACATGCATGAGCATCTTGTATTTGTATCATATAGAGTTCAAATCTCTTGGCTGAATGTTAAATTTTTTCACTGGATGTGCTTCAATTTGTGATGTCAAAATGCTTATCGAGTCATATAAGCTCTTAAGTACTATGTTCAAGTCAAATTTGCTTCCCATGTCATTGTTATTATCGTAAGTCCATATTTATATGTCTTCTACTACTGGTTTGTAGTTCCAAATCGAAATAAGGATTATGACCACCAAAATAGTACATTTTTTCGTAGTGACATCCCTTATTGGGGACGCTGCATTTCATGCTACAGGTATAAGTACTCAACTGGTAGATTTTCCTAATATAAGCACATTATACTCAGTAGATATTGGTGAGCTTCAGGTTGATTCGGGGCTTTTCCGAGTCTTTACTATGCGTATTTTCGTAGTGGTACCATCATGGATTCCAGTAGAAGCTTTGTAGACATTGTAAGGTTATCATCTGTATTCATAGTTTCACTTGTCACATATAGAGGTTCATCTAGTCAAAATGTGTTATATATGAAGCTTCATCAGTAATCTGCATAGTAGTTTATTTTCTCATCATAGACTACTTGTAAAGCATGTGTTCGTAAGGTACTTGACCGCCTCACCTAAGTTTGGGGGCTGACATTACTCTTGGTGGAAAGCAATGATGGAAACTTTTATTCAGGCTAAGGATTATGAACTTTGGAATATAGTTATTGATGGACCAGAATACCCAACTTAAAAGGATGCTAAAAATAATAACATACAAAAGGAAAAGAGTGAATACGATGAGGGTGACTATAAGATTCTTGAAAAGAATGCAAAAACTAAGTTTATTCTTATTTGTGGCATTGTACCAGATGAGTATCTTCAAATATCTAGTTGCATAATTGCAAAACAAATTTGGGATACTATAGGATCAGAACATCTTATGAAAAGGTAGATGAGATTGCTCTCATGGCTATTGGAGATTCACACGTGGAAGAAGAAGAAGAAAACTCTGAGGGTAGTATCATTGATCTTAAGAAAAATTTCATCTATTTTCAAAACATAAATTAATTGAATTGTTGAATGGGTTAATTGATGAATTTGAAGAATTAACATGTGAAAGAGATTAGTTGTTTAATGCCTTTACAGACCAAAAATTTGAGTACATGGATCTCAAAGATGACAAAACTGTAACTTGTAAAAAAAATTATTGTCTGAAGAAACATATTGAAAAACTTGAGTCATCTAACCTAGATCTAAAGTCGGAAATTTTTAGGATGACAGTTATTGAAAAAGGAAAAGAAAAATGAGTGGAATTGAAGAAAAGCTGGAAAAAGAGTTGAAAAAATGCACAAGTGACTATTTTTTTAAAAAAAGAAATGGTGAGGAAATTAAACATTGAAATCTCTCAAATAAAAGTTAATCTTTAGAAGACAAATAGATGGACTCACTCATCTAGATTTGTTAACAAATTGAGTGATAGGGTGCACAATGAGAAGGCTGGCATAGGATTCCATAAAGAAAATATTATCTCTGAAGATTTATGTTATATATGTAGAAAAATTGGTCATTCAACTACTGAGTGTCCAGTTGCTAATGATTTTAGAAAAAGAAATACTAAGTTTGCAAATGGAAACAAATTTATGTCTGTTGGCAAAAACAGGTCCACTAACCTGGTTCTTAGATGGACGAGAAGAAATATGATTCACCCTTTTGATCATAAAAAAGGACCCAAGCTTGTCTGTGTTCCTAAGACTAACCTCTAAGCTATTTTGCAAGTGAAGCAGAAAGGAAGTAAGTAATGCAATTCATAAATATTGCTTGCTTAAGAGATATCAATGCAAACAAACAAAAGTTACTTTCTCTCACTTCACAAAAGGGTAAATGTGTCATTTAAAAAGAATAAGAAGAAAGAGTTAATGCATGTGTAAGGGGGAATCCAAAAAAAAAGAAAAAAAAGTGAGGATTAAAGTGAAACTGATGAGAGTGCATCGGAACACGTTGTACCACATGTTTCATTTGCTTAACAGACTAAGGGCATATTGATAGGGGGAATAATGAATCTTGAAACCGATTTTTCTACAAAAGTATGTGATTGTTGGATCACGTTGTTATTTTTCAAACGACAATTGATGAATTGTGGCACTATGTAGGGAGCATTATGAAAAGAACAAGTTAGACTTGAGGATGATTAAGATTGCATGAACTTCCCTCAATAATTGGATAGAATAATTGTTCTCCTAACTTTATGAGCTAAAATTTTATTCAATTCAGTCTTAAACATTCAGTTGTGTGTCCCAATTCCAGATCCTTGACTTATTTTAACCTAATTTTGTATTAGATTGTGAAGAGAAATGGTAAAAACAAGCAATGATGATCACAAAATTGCTCTTATCAGGTATGTTATATATTGATAAAGGTTTAATATTGTATAAAGTGAAACAATTGAGCACTCATGTTCCATGTATTAATTGTTCTAATACAAAAAAAATTAATCGTCCAAGCGCAAGAGTCTCATTCTTTCAAATTGTTTTCTCTCACTTTGTCTTCTTGGATTTTTTTTGCAAGCTCAAAGCAAATAGTTTCTCATTTTCAGTTCATAAGGAAGAATCAACTCCTAAAACACATTTTTTCTCTATTCCACCTTGAACTCTCATCTAGAAATCAAAAGTGTCAAAAAGATGCCATTATCTTAGAGCTAGCATGAAAAAACAAGGATATCATGATTTCCATTGTAAGTTTTGAGGAATACTAAATTCCAATTCATGCATGGTTTTTCCAAAAAAAAAAACTTATTGAATAGATGAATCATGCTGACCTATATGCGTCAATGAGGAAAACTGCTACTCCAATGAAAAGGTTGAAGTAATATATTCACTGATAAGATTGTTGACCTGGAGGTTGGTCATATTGCATATGAAAAAAAAATCAAAGATGACTTTAAGCTCTAGAGACTGTTTTTGATAAAGATTGTTGACACTACTATCTCCACTTGTTCAATTCTTTTCTTCACTTCCAATATTAGTGCCTCTGGCTTTATTCTACTCATGTCAAGTATTTGTTTTTTTGATTAGTGCTCAATAGTTTCTACTTCATTCAGTATGATTTCGATCTTAAATAAAACATTATCTGGTAGTTTAATGGATTGATTATTGATTGCTTTAATAAATCATGTTCTTGCTCTCTACAATACGTTATTATGTTGCATGAAGTCGTTATCTGATTGTCTTGGTGAAAGCCAGTAGCCATGAATAGTTTAACTGATCAATCTAGCTCGTATATTATAGGATTGACATAACTTTTCAATGATGCCAAAAGGGGGAAGATAAGAGTTGTGCAATGCTCATAACCCATGGACTAACTTGTTTCATGTTAGTATTTCATGCTTCAGTGTCTACAAATAAAACTGTTTGAGTGCACAAAGAAAAGAGGTTTGTCATCATCAAAAAGGGGGAATTTGTTGGGATTTATGCATTTTTGATGATTGACAAAGAAAGAAGAAACATGGTAGTCAACACGGTCCAAAGGTACATTGTCATATACTGTTGAATTCGAGAAAGCTTCTAAAATGAATAAAGATAAAAGTGCAAAAATAAAGAAATGCATAATGTTAATTTCGTGAGAAACCCCAAGAAAATAAACATCTTATGAATTGAACAGAAAGAATTAATGAGTTTGATTTGAAGAAGGAGTCTAAAGAGGCAAGTAATTTTAATTGAAGGAGGAGTCTCACTTAAAGTAGAACTCTAAAAGTTACTGTCAAATTGATTTGTTGGAGTTCGACTACAATACAACAGAATTAATTAATGTAATTTGAAAAAGAAGTCCAAAGAATGTAGGTGTTTGAATTGAAGAAGGAGTCTTACTTGAAGTAGAACTCTAAGTCCAGAGAAATCAAGTCAATATGGAGTTTGAAGTGAACAATAACTCTATGATAAATTGTGCTTAATATATGTGAAGTCGTTCAGAATACTTGTGCACTTACATAGCAAAAAAGCGATTGAGAAATTCACTTTGCAAGTGCTACCAGCGAACTGAAGGAACACATCGAAGAACCCGATCCTTTACAGAGTTTATGTGTTAGGATTTTTTATTTGTGAATGAGTCTTGATGTAATCTTAGTTCAGTGAGTTATAAACTTAATTAGGACTGTTGTCTTAGGGTTGTGATAACTCGAAGAGTTGGGAAGACATACCTTGGGAGGTTTGTGTTGAAGGTTAGGAATTAGAGTTAATTCATAGGATTACCAGAGTTGTAGTTCAAATCCATAACTTGAAGTTAAGGTAGGTTGTAAGGTTTTTAATCTATCTTTTGTGGAGGCTCCTAGTTGATTTAGTGAAGTTGGAGTTAAATCCTATAAGGGTACAGGTCGTGATTTTTAAACCTTTTGAGGCGGGTGTTTCCACGTAAAAATAGTGTAACTTACTATCTTTACTACTTTGTTGGAACACGTTAGACAACCTGTTTCACATTAGGTGAATAGTTAAAATCAATAGATTATTAGGTCGTGTAGATTATAAAATGCATTTACACTTGGGGATACTTAGTCCCCTTAAATTCATTTTGAAAACATATACTCAACTCTCATCATCCTCATACTCAAGTAATCAAGTCTTAAAATAAGTTTTAAACATTGTAGAAGGCTTCTTAAAATGACTCAAAGGACTCCCTCAAATTTTACTCTTAAATCTATATTGAATTGGAAATGTGAATTAAATAATTTTGATATGGATATATATGATTTCTTATTGATTACATTTTAAAAGAATTCAGATAGGACGAACAACAAAAAAAGGAACGAAGGCAGGTGACTTGACGCACAAAGTGGCCCGGGGCGCCAACCCCAAGACTTTACATTCCCTCTCCACAGGCGCGAGGAACCATCCCCCCTGGCGCCTTAGTGCCGTGCTCTACTACCCTTTGCCCAGAAAATTCGACGAACTTCTTCGATCTTTGGTCCTAACTCACGTAGAATTTACTGATTTGTTCCAAACTTGCTTAGATTCGTAAAACCAATGTAATAAGCTCTACTCTACTCAAATTTCCTAAAAAAAAACCCCCAAACACAAAACCCTCACCTCAAGAACTCATCTAACTCCATTAATAAATAATGAAGAACAAAATCTCAAGAAACTCATCAAAACCCAATACACAAAATCTCATGGACGAATTCAATAAGAAACTCATGATTGGCGCGATGGTGAATAATAATTCATCAATATGAAATCTTACATACCTTGAAAAGATCAAATCCTTGGCGAAATTCCTCAAAGATCACAACAACTCTTGAATGCTTGAATCTTTTCTCCTTTTCTCCTCTTGAACTTTGCCTAACCTTCCAAATGTTTTTAGACTTCAGTGTAAAATGATTTTAATTAGCTTGGACCCTTACTTTGGGTGGATAAACACGTAGACTTAGTGGGGTAAAGAAAAGACCAAAATATCCCTCCTTAATTTAGATGAACTTTGTAGTCATATCTCTCTCATTCAAACTCAAAATTTCACAAACATGGCGGCGTTGAAAAGATAATTCAACGAATTTCGATTTGATTTCTTATGGTCCACCTAAGTCATCCTAATTTGAAAGTTATGGTCGTTTGAAGTTGACCCAAGACTCAAAATTGAAGAGTAACTTGAACCAATTTCAATTTTTTTCATTCTAATTTAGTTCTTTCTAAATTTAGATCTTTCGAAGACTTAGATGTTAAAATTACCGAAAGAAATGTGGTGACAGCACATAAATAATCTGAAATAAGCTAAAACAATTGAAACAGTTATATTGTGAGTGTGAGCGTGAAAAGAACAAAAGACAATATAATAGTTGTAGAGGTAATCATGATCATGACAAAAGGGAGAACAATATGAGTTCTCAAAATTATCCTTTAAGAGACAAAGTTGATCACTGTCATCGTTGTGGACTGAAAGGTCACTAGAAAATTGATTGTCAGGCACATGAGTATGTTATCATATTGTATCAAAGTTCCTTCAAAATAAAAGAATATAAAGGTAGAAACTCAATTTCTAATATCCAGATGAAGTCATATTTGACTCTTAAAGAGGATGCTTAGGCAGGACCTTCTCAAAAATATGATAAGAATATTGAGGTACGATTGATAAATTAATTGATTTAGAAGAGGAAATTGATTATATTTCTTTTCTTGATTCTAAATAAGATCATATGCATTTATAAAAGAATTATTTTAAATTGTGATGATTAAAAGATCCTTGATTAATTTGTAGAACTATGTTGTTAGGTATTTTAGTCAAGTTTAGGAAAATTTATAGGCTCAAATTACACCTCCCTAAAGAACCCACTAATAGGTTGGGGTCGATCCCACGAGCAAAATAGTTTAGACTTAACTTCAATATACAATTACTTCTATTTAGTCAAGTCCTTTCCAAAAATAGGTAATTAAGGGGGGGGGGGGGTTATGAAACAAAAGTATTGTAAGATTTCTAAGTACAAAAAGTAACAGAAGTAAATCTTTGGTGTTTATCAAGTTGTGAGAGAAACTAGTATGTAAGTGTTCCCTATAGGTTAATAACGTATTCCTAGCTATAACAATTCTTCCTCAGTGTTTTGCATGCAAGGTTATAAGTTAGCTATCTCTAAATCCTTGGTCCGACATTTAGAGAATTTCACCCTGTACCTTGGTCCGGCTACATATGTCTAAGTTATTAACCCTTACCTTTACTTCATGTTAAGCATTGTATTCGATGTTTGACTTAGTTATTACTTCACATTAATCGATACTAGCCTATTAGATAGTATCCACTAAATCTATGTTGATAATTCCTTTCCTATTAACTACCCTCTTGGTCCGGCAAGTAGTAATAAGGCGATATTTCTAACGCGTGCACTCGTTAAAAGGAATTCTAACGAAATAATTATCAATGCATGCAATAACCTATTTGATAATTGTTTTTAAGCTAAGTTTACTTTATTAATCACCCATGGTTCCCACAACCCTAGTTGTGAATTTAGTTACCCATGTCTAGAAGAACACAATTCATAGTTGATAAACAATAAATCATGAACTTACTTTGACAAATTCGAAGAAAATCTAGAAATTTAACTTCAGACCACAAACTTCACTTAAAAACCAATTCCGAAAATTTGAATTAATGCGCAAGTTGCAAAAAAAAATCTCCAAGAACAAAACTAAGAAAGTAGTAATAGAATCCAACCCCAAAAACGAGGTTTTACACCCTATTTATAAAAAATATTGTCCTAAAATAAAAGGAATTGGAATAAGGAAAGTTGTCCAAAAATGTGGCTTTAATCGATGACCCCCACAGACGGTTCGTCAATGAAATGACGG